AAGGGAGGTTGTAACTCAGTTTGGCAGATCTATCAATGCAAAGTTAGAATCAATAATGAAGGATGGAGAATGGAGCTCGCCTACAAGAAGAAGAAGGAACCAGAAAGTGGAAGATTTAATCTCTGCAGTCCCTGCAAAATGCATATCACTACCTCAGGAGCAGGACTCTTTCAGATGGGCAAGAGACAAAATTGGAATATATACAACTAGATCAGCAATACAATTGTTGAGAATCGGTAATCAAGCTGTAGCATGGTATAAACTGGTATGGTTTAAGGGTTATATACCTCGTTATGCGTTCATAATGTGGTTGGTATGTAAAAACAGGTTGGCTACAAGAGATAGATTAATGAGATGGGGGATTATTTGGGAGAATTGGTGCCTATTATGTGCCTGTGCTAGGGAATCAATAGAACATTGGTTTTTTTTCTTGTGACCATTCAATCTATGTATGGGGTAGAATCCAGCAACCATGTGTGCTTTATAGAGGAAAGTATGGCTAGAATCAGGAGGTAGAATGGTGGATACAATTTTTCTTTTCTTAATTGTCTTCAATTACATTCGCTCTATCTCTACTATTATACTTAATTATTTATATGTAATTCTAAATTTTTGACAATTTTCATTTTTTAATGAATCTATATTACATAAATTTAGCATATTACTCGTACAAGTCCATCTAAATTTAAAAAATCCATTTAAATTGTATAAATAGTCATTCTTTCCTAAAATATTCTATTAATTTTTATAATCTCTCCATTCAAATTCGATTTAGGCAAAAGTAGTAGATATATAATCGGGGTTGCAAAAGTTCTCCCAAGTTACTTTTCTTAGTTTTTAATAATTTGAGCAAATAATGAGTTCATCATCTATTTGTTTGCTTTTAAAATTCTTTTTAGTCATGAAAGAATCAAATATTTAATTGCACTTATTTGCTAATATATGTCCTTCACTCATATGTTGACTTGCCACCATTAGTTAGATTAAACATAATTGAATTATGAGATAAGATTTGATTGAAACTAATTATTAAGCTGTTATAAATCAACCATTTTAAATATGTTTTATTTTAATGTTTGTCTTACAATTAGTATATTAAATTTTATGAAATAGCATTTTAAGCTTTTTTATAACAATTTTTGTTTAAAAAAATAAAAATTATAGAACATAAAAAAGTGCGAACTAGTTTATTACTATGTTATTAATAATTCCTAGATTTTGCAAACACAAGAAAACATATTATAAGAAAAGATTCTACTATTTGAGAAAAGATATTACTATTTAAGTACAAGATGCTAGTCCCACTTTTTAAGTATATTTACAAATATATCACTTTTTCTCAAAAATACATAATTTTCACTTTATTTTAATAAAAAATACTTCTATTTAAGTATAAGTCAAAACTTTTTGTCAAACAGATGCAAATTTCTATTCAAACTTGAATGTTCAGGAAAGTTTATTTCTTCAAACGACCAATTTATCCCCAAAATATACTACGTTATTAGTAAAGGTACCATCTTAGTTTTTAGGGAAAATCGTCCAAAACGTCCCTCGCATTTTGTAAAATAACTTTTTTCATTCCTCACTTTTAAAAGTGTAATTTTATATCCCTTACATATTCACATCGGATAAATTTAGTCCCTAACTAGGTTTCCGATCATTTTTTGGCCGGAATCTATCATGTGCAAGGCACGTGATCATTTTTGAAGGGTAAATTTGTCAAATTATATTTTACATAATCTGATCTATAGTCCTCCACATTTTATAAAATAAATTTTTTCGTCCCTCACATTTTATAAAATGATTTTTTTTCACCCCTCACATTTCACAAAATGAATTTCTCCATCCCTCACATTTCAAAAAATGAATTTTTCATTTCTCACTAATTATGTGCGTGAATACATTTTTTTAAACACATGTATATATCTATTTGATTTTGCTTAATAATAATAGCATAAACACATGTATGTAATTGGGCCCAACTTGTGGGCTATCTTCTCTTTTTGTATGATTATGACTAATATTTACCAATAGAACCTTAATTTGCATATTCTTATTGTATTTTGACCAAAAATAGCTTTATTGGCCAATTTGACAATGAATGCAAGATTTTTACTAGCTAATACCAGATGAAATCAAATGATCACGTATAATATATGGTATTCGTATTGTTAAGTGAAATCAAATAGACACATACATATATTTATGCTATTCGTATTATTAAGCAAAATCAAATAGACATATACATGTGCTTAAACAAAATGTATTCACACACTTTTTTTTTTAGGGTTTCCCTCACATACATAATTAGTGAGGGATGGAAATATTCATTTTTTGAAATGTGAGGGATGGAGAAATTCATTTTGTGAAATGTGAGGGATGAAAAAATCATTTTATAAAATGTGAGGGACGAAAAAATTTGTTTTATAAAATGTGGAGGACTATAGATCAGATTATATAAAATATAATTTGACAAATTTACCTTTCAAAAATGATCACGTGCCTTGTACGTGATGGATTCCGGCCAAAAAATGATCGGAAACCTAGTTAGGGACTAAATTTGACTGATGTGAATATGTAAGGGACATAAAATTACACTTTTAAAAGTGAGGGATGAAAAAAGTCATTTTACAAAATATGAGGGACGTTTTGGACGATTTTCCCTAAAAACTAAGATGGTACCTTTACTAATAACGTAGTATATTTTGGGGAACCTCGGTATTGGTAGAAGACGCCACAATTTAGCGCGATCCTAGATTGATAAGTCGAATTGAATACCTAAGAACGATTCTAAGATATTCAATGGTACTTCAATGAAGCTTTGAGAGAACTCTCAAAATGTATTTTTATTAATCATCAAAATCTGCTAGTAAACAATGACTTAAGCCTATTTGTAACCGTGACTAAGGCCTAATAAAACTTGGAAACATGTAGGAAATTCGGGCAGCCCTTGGGCTTCTCTCTTGGCCGACACTAGCCCAACAACATATATACCCCCGACTCGCTAATTGGGCAGCGAGACCTCCGAACCAGCTCAGCGTAGGGACTAACTACGTAGCTTACTAAAGTGCTATTGGCCCCAAAGCCCACATGGCCTAGCCCATTGACTCAAGGACTAACAACGACTAAGGTCCAAACCACAAGCTAGTTGGACCTCTTAATTATACTTTACTAAACTAATAATGGGCCGTAGACCCCTTAGCCGACTCATGGGATTCTAATCTTCAGTGATGGCCGAAACTAGGACAACAAGCCTAGTTTCGTTGAGGCCCTCGATGGCCTTTGGCTCTCCACTCGACTCTCGGGCCGCACGAACCAATGTTTGTAGTGTCTCATTCAATCTCTTCGTGCGAGCTCGTGTCATAAGCCCCAATGGCACCTTCACTTGCTCCACTTGGATAGCTCTCTCGACCTTCTCGTCACCTCCTTAATTTCTTGGTAGTCAAGAGATGCTTATTAACTACTTTCCTTGTAAAGTAGATACTAATGCGAGTTAAATTATAAATTATAAAATAAATTGTAATAAACATGTTAGTTTGCATTAAATAGTCATGCCTTGAGAAATTTTGAAATGCATCATCATCAGTTACCAATTCGGATACATATATATATATCTCCATTATGCTATTATCTATACTAGTACTAAATTGAGACGACAAACTAAAAATTATGGGAATCAATTTGCCGATTCAAAAAGAGCAAATTGATGGCAAGACAATATGATTTTATATGTAGTCAAATAGTGTGTCAGGCACCCACTAATATTTTCCTAGTTGTACTGTTATTAACTCAGAGGCATGTTAACGATTCGGCTCGAAGGAACTACTTTTGGTGTTAGCATAAATATTTTAGCCATATATATCTATGTGTGTGTAAAGACTTATGGAGCTCATTTTTTTTGACATTAACCTTGTAAAGTGACACCAAAGCATTGGTAATCCAAGGCTATACTATAGTTGCAATACACCTCCCACTCCCAAAATAAAATAATAATAATATAACTAGTGATGGTACCTGTTTAAGCTTAGGAATTCGTGATGGCCTCCCTTCGGAGTTTGACAAGAAAAGTCCAAATATAAGCAAAAGGAAGCTGCAATAGACAAGTTTTAAATTCACACCAAATGTATAGAAATTTAATTACTTCAATAGAAAAATATTGAAGCAAAACAACAAATTACCTTGGAAAAAATGAATTTGAGATCGGTGAGTATGCTAGCAATAAAAAAAATTAGGAGGAAAAAACGACAAAATTATGAAAGAGTATAAAGATGAAAAAAGATGAGTAGAAAGATGTGAGGAGCATAGAGAAATTGTAAAAGTCATTAAATAGGGAGAAAATAGAATTAGAGAACCATTAGACAGAAAATATCAAGTTGTTTAATTAAATAAGAATTTTGAATAGAGAATACTAGATTGTTTAATTAGATAAGAATTTTGAACGTAATTAATAAATAAGAATAGATTTAGTAGATAATATAAAATAGTTAAAGTAAATCTGTTGATTCTTATCAAATTAAGCATTCAGTTACAATTTTTGTGCTAAAAAAAATACATATAAATTCACCACCACTTAACAAGTTTAGCAGATGACTTTTTATTTATCAAACACCCAAAACATCTAAATATCTGAACGAGTTCAGTTTTAGCACTTTTTTATATTATCAAACAGACATTAAATAATGAGTTATGCACTTATCACTTAATATGATATACACTCAAATGTATCATATTTAGTACTTAACAATTTAATAAGTTAATATATTCAGATTTCAAATTTCAAATTTCAGTTTTATCAAACGCATCTCCTTTTTTTTTTTTTTTTTTTGATAAACTCCGTACACAGGGATGGGATGTTAGTCCAAATTTTATTAATAATAAAATTGAATAGTGCAAGAAAGGGGGGGGCTATGCCTTACCTCCTGGAGTACATGATAAGGAAAAAAATTAAAAGCGTAAAACATGAAAGTCAAATCGAAGTACTACCATATTACAAAAGATTATTAAACCTTATGCCTATGAAAGCTAGGAAAACCAAACCTATCGATCCTAATATCTCCTCTAACAATCCGTGGCAATAGTGCAAAAGAATCATAAACCACGTTTGAGGCAGTGTCTGCTCCAATGTCAGATAATCTACCCGCAACCATGTTTGCTTCCCAAAAACAATGAGTGACCTTATAATCACTGAGCGAGGAAATAGCTGCAAAACTTGAATGACCAAAAGTACGAAAGCTTGCCTGCAATTGGAAAGTTATATAGCAGCATTAGGTTTAACCGTTAGAATTTGGAAGCCTCCAGAAATTGCTTTGAGATATAAATAAATTAATATATCATTGAACTGATTCAACATATAAACAGAAGGAAAATCGACATGAATCATTATATATTTGAATGGATTCAACATATGCAAAATATAATTTTATCTGACCTGATGAGTGAAATCCTACTGTATGTTCACTCTCACCCAGATCAGGTATGGTGAGAGGAAATAGACTCTCTTTCTGAGAAAATCTCCTCTGCTTCTGAGGGGATTGACTCTGCTTTTGAGCAATTTGACTCTTCTTATGAGGGACTAGATGTATCATCACAATTTTCAATTACAATCTCTAGAACCTCATTTCCACTATCCACTTGTTCTTGCTGAATTTGCTTTATTGAATTTGCAACAGACTCACGACACTTTTCCACCTTAATCATTATAAGACTCGGACATTCCCCTAAACAAGCAGGGACCTCTTCCAGCTTCCCACAATGGCGCACAACCAATTTCTCAAGATGGCAAACATTATCAGAAGATGCAGTCGAGTTGCGAATGTCCAACCTTGACAATTCCAAGACTCAGAGTTTAGGGAACTCCCTTTCATTCAATACCCATTCTTCCCCGACAAAGGATTGAGTCCGTAATTTAAGCACTTCAAGATTAGGCAACTTTCCAATAGTTGAAATTTCACTCCATGGCTGACAATTCCTTAAGAGAGTCAACTTCTTCAAATTCAATGGGAATTTGAATCCATATCCCTGAAAACCAATCAAATGAAGTGATTCTAGCTGTCTCACACTGTCAAACTCAAGAATCTCTTCGCAACTTGTAGTTGCAAAATTGATTCTAAAGTTCGAGTGGGGTTTAATACATTTTAGCCTGCGGATGCTTGGTAACTTTGCTAGTATCTTTTGCAAGCTTTGGGAGGAGATATCAATTGCAAGGGGTAAAGTGTCTAAATGATCTAAATTTGGGGATGCTTCAAGATTTTCAGCTGGAAAAATAAAACCATCAGTCCACATTGTGGTATGTAGATAACTCAATCTCTTAAGGTTCCAAATAGTATTTGCTAGCTTAAGTGAACGAAACGTGTCTTTCACGATAAGAGTTTCTAACCTTGAGAGGTTGTCTATCACAGATGGGATGGCGCTTAATCCACGGAGCACCAGGTATCTCAAGTGAACAAGCGATACCACTTCCCTTGGTATATAATTACACTTCCCCAAATCCAGCACTCTAAGAAGTTTAGGTAACAAAATCCCCAACTCCTCCTTTTTCGTTAGATAAGAATGGCCATCAGGTCCAGACAAGAGTAGACTGCGTAAATTGGGAAAAATTAGCATTAACTCCCAAATCTTTAATTCCCCGGTATTGTGAGCACGAACTCAGTGGTTGTTGCTTGGTCCGGTAAGATTGAAAGGGTCTTTCCAACTATGAATAACACATAGAAAACTTTCTTCTTTGGCTTTTTCCACACAATATTCGTGTACCAAATCATGAAGTTGGCAGGCTTTGGCACCACCCATAGTTCTTTGTTTGGCAACCACAACTAAACTTCTACTAATTAGAGCCATCAAGTAGTCATAAGCTGATTCCTCTAAGCTCTTTCCTTTAGTTTGTTGCACCAATCCTTCACAGATCCAAAGCCATAACAACGTTCGCACGTTAATAACCTCATCTTCTTGAAATGCAGCAAAGTATAGAAAGCAGGGCTTCAAATAATCCAGTAAATGATTGTAACTCAGCTCAAGTGTCTTCTTGCAATCTTTATTATCAAGGACAATAAAGCTTAGACTTTTTGCAACTTTTTCCCATCTATCTTGTGTAGTAGTAGCGAGAATTTCAGCAACAAGGACAACTGTGAGAGGTAAGCCTCTACAAGTTTTTGCGATTTGAAATCCAACTTCACTTAGTGTTGGAGGACAACATTCTTTGTCAAATAGCTTTTTCTACAGCAATGTTCAACTCTCTTCGTCAGTAAGTTGGCAAAGATGGTAAGGCTCTCTATCAGGTTTGAATTGCAAAGAACAATTATGAAATCTACTGGTGAAGAGAATCCTACTTCCATTGACATCATCCGGCAATGATTTTTCCAAAAAATTCCATGCCTCAACATCCCACAAGTCATCCAAAACAAGGAAATACCTAGTTCTCAGCAAAACTTGCTTTAGCTTCGTAGTCAAATCATTTTCATCCATCTTAAGATATTCGTTAGAGCTCTTAGAAGAAATACTACACAAAAGCTGAACTAACAAACTATGCATGCTATACGTTTGAGAAACACAACACCAGCCACGAACATGGAAATATGACCTGACTGAAGGAGCAGCATAAACTTTATTGGCTAATGTGGTCTTGCCAAGTCCAGGCATACCCACAATGGAAACAACATCCAACTGCTTTGATCCTCTCGTAAGTCGATGAGTGATAGTTTCCACCTTATTGTCGAGACCCACCAGATCTTCATGGTGTATGGTGGTAATAAGTTGTGATGGTATGTGAATGGATGTCTTGTTAACTCTCTGGATTTGACCATTCTGGATCTTCAAGCCTCAATCTTCAGAAGATTGATATCTCCAGCAATAGCATCCAAAGAATCTTCACATTTATCACCAACTAGTGTCGAGTCAATCAATAACTCTGCCTTGTATGCAGCCTCCATAACATGACTCCAGAAAGCTTGGAGTTTTCCATTCTGATAGCGCTGCCCCTTGATATTCACCAAGACAAGTCTTAAGAGTTTGAGATCTTTTTCGATCATTTGGATTCTATCCTGTAGAAAAACAATTGAATCATTAGCCTCATCACACCTTGCTAGTTCCTTGAGATTTCTAGGAAAAAATCCATACAGCCCAACTCATTAGATCTTGGATAATTAAATGATGAATATGGTGATGTTAGTCGATAATTGTGTGCAACCTCTACCACCAAATATTTGAGAACTTTGTGCAAATGAAGCAGCCCGGGATCTATTTCCTCGGGCAAGCCTTCTTTGATTTCATTGATAGAAATAGAGAAGATTAGAATTCCTGCATCACAAACCATAACTCCAATATCTCTTATTTCATCACGTAGTTTCTCCTCCCGATTAAGCAGGATGCTTAGGTATTTTATTCCCCGATGGAGTTTTAGCATTTGATCCTTCACCGGAGCCTGAAAACTGGCATAAGATTCTAGTAGATCCTTGAGATAAACATGGAGAGAACCAATGTCGCGCCCCACTTTTTGAGTATGTGAAAGTAGTGTGTGGGATATGTATGTGAACGTGTGTGAAAATAAAAATAAAAGGCCGTGGGATTGTGAAATGCGACGGTTTGGCCAAACAAAGTTCAAAAAGGGTTTTTGAATGGAAAATGGAGTCGCCACTTGGTATAGAGTTAGGGTGTACCAAGTCACCCAAAAAGTGATTTTTTGGAAAGAAAAGTAAATAAACCCTTTTTAAAGAACTCTTAGGTCTACATAACCAAAGAAAGGGATCGGGGGTCACATTTGATAAGGGAGAAGGCAAAGGTAAAGCCTAAGGCACTCCCTTACCCTAGCCAAAGCTAGTTGCCTGACTTAGCCCTTCTTTTCTTAATTCTTCTACCCAAAATATGTGTTGCATGTTGGATGTGACTAATGGATATGAAAAAAAAATGCAATCCAAAATCTAAAATGTCTTTTATGAGGCTTTTTTGGTCCCAATCACATGAGTTGTGATGGCCAATAAGGAAAACTCTCATAGAGGTCACGGGTAATGCAAATGAAGACCCAAATATGAGTGCAAGTGTGAAAATGTAAGAGGAATGCAAAATAAAATAAAATAAAAATACAAATGTAAGTGCAAGTGTGCAAATGTAATAAAAGTGCATGTGTGCGAATGTAAGAAAAGCGCATGTGTGCAAATGTAAGAAAAGTGCATGTGTGCCAATTGAGAAAATGAAGGTGTATGTGTGCAAGTGAATCAAAATATGGTATAATGGTAGTAAATGCATCTAAGTACAATTGGGTGCAATTTGTGAGGTAGAAAATAAATAAGTGATAGGGAAAGAAGAGAAAGTGTGTGAACATGGCATGTGCAGTTAAAAATATAAGTAGTGAGAAAATGTAGATGAAAAAATGATATAGTAAAATGGAGGTGCATGATCCTAGAGGAATGCATCAAGTCGGGTACGGGAATGACTTCTATCTTCATGATTTTAATTTTCCCTTTGATTAGAAGGAAGAACTAGCGTGCTAAGGCTATTTTGTAGCCACACTCGCTCGTTTTCCTTACCTAAAGGGGACTCTCAAGCAAATGTACCCTATAATTAGCATGAGGATGCAAAAACCTAAAATGAAGGGGAAAGGGTTGGAGGGGCATGCCAAATGCTAGAAAACTAAGAAAAACGCATGAAATGTAGTGAGACATGCAAGTATGTACTAACGAGAGGGGACAACCTATTGGGTCTAGCATTGGACTAGCCCTTTTCTAAAATTCTCTCACAAGCATTGGACTTGCGAGAGCTCGAGGGGAAAGACCATGACCAGCGTTGGACTAGCCACGGTGACGTCACACATTCATTATAAACCAAATAAATCATGTAAAGGCTAATAAAGCAAATAAACACATAAATCAAAGGGAATGCAATGCGCGAGGCTCTAAAGGTGACACACACCTCCCCCAAATGCAATGCAAAGCGCGAGATAAAACAAGTACAACATACATCCAAACAAACCAATCATACATACGTGAGTGAGGGAATAGTTTGATATGCGCGCGAGGCAAAAAGTCCTAAAAATGGAAAATGCAACCCTAATATCCAAATGCTATGCATAAAAAGGGTAGAAAAAAGGAAAAGAATAGCTAAATCAAATGCTTGGACCCACTTAGGAAGTCCCCAGTGGAGTCGCCAACTGTCGCGCCCCACATTTTGAGTATGTGAAAGTAGTGTGTGGGATATGTATGTGAACGTGTGTGAAAATGAAAATAAAAGGCCGTGGGATTGTGAAATGCGACGGTTTGGCCAAACAAAGTTCAAAAAAGGTTTTTGAATGGAAAATGGAGTCGCCACTTGGTATAGAGTTAGGGTGTACCAAATCACCCAAAAAGTGATTTTTTGGAAAGAAAAGTAAACAAACCCTTTTTAAAGAACTCTTAGGTCTACGTAACCAAAGAAAGGGATCGGAGGTCACATTTGATAAGGGAGAAGGCAAAGACAAAGCCTAAGGCACTCCCTTACCCTAGCCAAAGCTAGTTGCGTGACTTAGCCCTTCTTTTCTTAATTCTTCTACCCAAAATATGTGTTGCATGTTGGATGTGACTAATGGATATGAAAAAAAAATGCAATCCTAAATCTAAAATGTCTCTTATGAGGCTTTTTTGGTCCCAATCACATGAGTTGTGATGGCCAATAAGGAAAACTCTCATAGAGTTCACGGGTAATGCAAATGAAGACCCAAATATGAGTGCAAGTGTGAAAATGTAAGAGGAATGCAAAATAAAATAAAATAAAAATACAAATGTAAGTGCAAGTGTGCAAATGTAAGAAAAGTGCATGTGTGCAAATATAAGAAAAGTGCATGTGTGCCAATTGAGAAAATGAAGGTGTATGTGTGCAAGTGGATCAAAATATGGTATAATGGTAGTAAATGCATCTAAGTACAATTGGGTGCAATTTGTGAGGTAGAAAATAAATAAGTGATAGGGAAAGAAGAGAAAGTGTGTGAACATGCCAGTAAAAAATATAAGTAGTGAGAAAATGTGGATGAAAAAATGATATGGTAAAATGGAGGTGCATGATCCTAGAGGAATGCATCAAGTCGGGTACGGGAATGACTTCTATCTTCATGATTTTAATTTTCCCTTTGATTAGAAGGAAGAACTAGCGTGCTAAGGCTATTTTGTAGCCACACTCGCTCGTTTCCCTTACCTAAAGGGGACTCTCAAGCAAATGTACCCTATAATTAGCATGAGGATGCAAAAACCTAAAATGAAGGGGAAAGGGTTGGAGGGGCATGCCAAATGCTGGAAAACTAAGAAAAACGCATGAAATGTAGTGAGACATGCAAGTATGTACTAACGAGAGGGGACAACCTATTGGGTCTAGCATTGGACTAGCCCTTTTCTAAAATTCTCTCACAAGCATTGGACTTGCGAGAGCTCGAGGGGAAAGACCATGACCAGCGTTGGACTAGCCACGGTGACGTCACACATTCATTATAAACCAAATAAATCATGTAAAGGCTAATAAAGCAAATAAACACATAAATCATATATTGCACATAACACATAAGCATGGTATCTAGATGCAAGACCCTAAGAAAGCAAGTAACACGTAGCACGTAAGCATGCAAATCACACTAATGAACCTATTACATTGGCTAACTAAAACAAATGGGGAAGGGGAAAAGTGAAAAAATGCTCTCCAAACCCTATCTATTACAAGCCAAGAGGTGTACACATACCCCATAAAAGAATAACTTAATAAAAGCAAAAGTAAATGAAATAAATGAAAGGAATTAAAGAAAGGCAAGGAAAGCAAAGTAGACATGCAATTCTCACTTAGCACGTTGGATCACATAGAGGAGAGACAAAAAAGATAAAAGAAGTTATACCTCCCTCGCGATGGTAATCAAATGAAGGAAAAATGGCTTCAAAACAATAAAAAGGTCAAGGTACTGTCGCGCCCCACTTTTTGAATCGTAGTGAATGAGTGATATTGTGTGATGATGTGGTGTGAACGTGTGCAAAATGGAAAGTAAAAAGGCCATGGGACTTTGGAAAGCGACGATTTGGCCAAATGAAATTTTAAAAAGGGTTTTTTAAATATGAAGACGGAGTCGCCACTTGGTATAGATTTGGGGTGTACCAAGTCACCCAAAAAGTGTTTTTTAAAGACAAAGTAGTAAAACCCTTTTTAAAACGACTCCTAGTCCACGTAAGCCAAAGAAAAAGGTTCGGGGGTCACGTTTGACAAAGGGGAAGGCAAGGATAGAATCCAAGGCACCCCTTTGACCTAGCCAAGGCTAGTTGCGCGACTTAACCTTACCTTTCCTAATTTTCTACCCAATATATGTTCGCACGTTGGACATGACTATATGAATGTAAAACGGAAAGAAAAATGCAATCCTAGAGTCTACGATGTCTCTTATGAGGCTTGTGGTCCCAAACCACATGAATTGTGGCGGCCAACAAAGGAAAACCCCATAGAGGTCGATTAATGCAAATGAGACTCAAATGTGCAAGTGTGAAAGTGTATGAAAGAAATTAAAAATCCAAGTGTTTGTGTGCAAGTGTATGAAAAGGTGCACGTGTGCAATTGTATGAAAATTCCAAGTGTTCGTGTGCAAGTGTATGAAATATAGTGATAAGTGCATATAGGTGTGATTAAATGCAATTTTGTGAAGTAGA